ATGTGGGTCTATGTGTGATCCCTTGGTGTCTGCATGTGACCCTATCTGGCAGGACATCTCCGTCCTTGTGTTCCTGGGTGTGGTTGTGTACTGAATTCTGTGCCTGTATGTTGTTGTTGTTAAGTGTCATTGAGTAGGTTCCGGCTCATAGCGACCCTGAATAATTTTACAAGGAGCAAATGGTGAGTTTGAGCTGCCTACCTTGCAGTTCAAAGTCCAGTGCTGATCCACATTGCCACACCAGAAGTCCGCCTGTGTGTATATGTCCCTGTAAACGTCCTCGGGAATCTGTCTCCCCACATATGTTACTGTGCCTTCTTGGGAGTGCCCAGAGTGTGTGTCCTGGAGTGTGGCTGTGTGTCCAAGCACTGCTGGCTCTATGCCCTCCTTGGCTCCACTCCCTGCTGCCTGAGTGAGCCAACACCTGCTCCCTGAGCACTGACCCCCTCCCCCAACTGGCAAGGACAAGGAAGGACATGGAGACAGACTCAGACATGGAGTCAGAGACAGAGAGATAGGAGGGGTACAGAGAGAACACCAAGGAGGCTGGAGAGGGGAACACCCGGAGTCATGTGATCAGCCTCAGTGCTTGAGACCGGAAGTGAGAAACAGATGTCAAGATCTGGACATTTGAGAGAGACTGAGAGGTAAATAGACCTGGAGATTCAGAGACACACAGGGCTCAGAGCACCAATTCCGGAAGTGCTGAGGCAGACCAGAGATCAAGGATGTGGCTCCCTCCCCAGCTTCCCTCCCTCCCTTCTTCCTTCCCACTCAGTTTCCAGTCCCAACTGTGCCTCCCCCACATACTCAAAGCAGAGTTCGCCTGACCATGGAAGTCTGGGGCCCCAGGACTGGAACCCAACCTCCTCCTTACAACTGGCTTAGGTGTGTGTGTGTGTCTGTCCAGTCTGTGTATGCTGTTCTGGGTTAGTACCTACCTTATACCCCATAGCCCTCCTCCGTCATAACTGCCCCCTCCACACATACACAAACGGTCCAGATCATGCACATCTTGACACACATACCACAGTCAACCACCTGTGGAGTTAAAAAAATAAAAATCCCCAAGTACAGACTCCACCCCAGATCAATAAAATCAGAATCTCTTGGGGAGAACTTGAACGTCAGCATTTTTTAACAATACACTCAAAAAAGTGCCTATACCCTCCAGGTGATTCCTGTCTACAGTAGAGAACCACTGATCTAAAGGAATAAACTCTACAATGTTGACACAGGTTGTATTAGGGACTGGCAGAGTGGCTTTTCACTGTTAACAGTACAGTGAAGCAAAGACTCTGGAACCAGACTACTTGGGTTTGAATCCGGGTGTAATCACTTACTCACTGAGTGATCTTTGCAAATTACCTCTCTTTATCTGAATTTCCTGTCTGTATAATGGGGGTAATAATAATTATAACAAAACCTCACAGGATTGCTGTGGAAAATTAATGAATTAATATATGTAAAGATAATATATGAATTAACATAATTAAGTGTATTAATATATGTTTAGAACAGTTCCTGGTACATAATAAGTGCTATGTAAGTAATTGCTATTATTTTTGTCATTAAAAATTTTTTTATTATAGAATATTATTTGGGTGAATTTTACAAGCAGATTTTTTTCCCCTTAAATTTTTATCAAAAAGCAAGCGCTTGGAGTCAGACCCTTAGTTAACTTACCATGTGATCTTGGACAAATTACTTACTTCATATCTCTGAACCTGACATCTCACCTGTGTTGTTGTGTGCCTTCAAGTGGGTTCCATCTCATAGCGACCTTATACGCAGGGGCAGATTATCCAATAAGCAAGGTAAGCCCATGATGTGTTGAAACCCATGTGAAATCGTGTACTTTGATTAGTTAGTAAACACAAGTAAGTCTGTGCTTACCTTAGTTATTGGGTAATCTGACACTGTTTATATGACAAAGTAGAACTGTCCCATAGGGTTTCTTAGGCTATATTTTATAGAAGCAGATGGTTAGTTCCCCCCCCCCACCAGGAGTGAGAAATGGCTATTGGATTCCAACTCTCCTTGACTCTTCAGTTAGTAGCCAAGTGCTTAACCATTGTGCCGGGGGGGGGGGGCTCCTTTCTCATCTATTGTTGTTGTTAAGTGCCGTCGAGTCAGTTCCGACCCATAGCGACCCTGTACAGGGTTTCCGAGGGTGTAAATCCTTACGGGAGTAGAAAGCCTCATCTTTCTCCCGCGGAGCGGCTGGTAGTTTTGAACCGCTGACCTTAAGGTTCGCAGCCCGATTCGTAACCACTACGCTACCATCTATAGATGATGTGAATTGCTTTCTCTACCTCAAAGATTGTTTTAAGAAATAAACATCTAAGGGAAGTTTTTAATAAATGGTGGCGAAACCCAAATATCCAGGAACAATGCTGTTGTGATATGGTAGTACCCAACCTTTGAACAGACCAGATGGGGGTACCCCATCCTGCCTCACCCACCTGGGTCCCTTCCCTCAGAGGCCCCAGGGTCTTGGTAGGTCTCCTCTGAGCCTGATCTCCAAGACACTTCAGCCATCCCACATTTTAGTAAGCAACAGAATGGACTAAGTGAGACCCTGTCCCTTCCTGAGTTCCCAATCTCTCCAAGATACTTCCCTTCACCTCTCCTGAGCATCTGTTCTCAACCTCATTATCATCTGGGAGACCACAACCCCTTCTCTGGGTTCCTATTCCTCTCCCCAAGTGAATCCCCAAACCCCCTTTAAGTTAATGAGTCCCCAAGCCCCCTCACTGCAGGATAATCACCTCCCTAAACTCCCATTTCCTTCCCAAGTCTCCCTCCACCCCCTCTTCCCTGAGAGGGAGACAGAGCCCACACACTTCAATGAATTTCCTTCCCCTCTCTCAAGACTTCTCTCATTGAGCCCAATCCCTTTTCACTGAATAATTCCCCCGCTCCGTGCTCTCACTGGGCCTTATCCCCTTACTAAACCCAGCCTAGCCTGGCCCACCTGGCCAGCTCTACCCCACCAGACACTGAACACACTCATTTTTTCCTTGCGGCACCTCTGGGACTGAACATAGGCTTCTCATGGGTTCCTCTGATGTCACCCTCTCCAACAGCCTCCACACTGTTGCAGTGAACTTACCAAAGCCCTCTCCCTTCTCTAAACACATAGGGGTTCTTCTCCAGACAGCTATGTGTGGCACTTACCTCAGTCACCCTCATACTCCAGGCCTTTGATCATGTCCCTGCCGCCTCATTTTTCTGCCAGGAATGCTAACCTGGGCTCTCTCAAGGCTTTCTCTTCCCAAGAAGCACCCCTCCCTGACCTCACAGGGTCTTACTGCTCCAGGCCCCCACTTCCAGTACCATCCTGGGTTGTCAGCTTGAGTGTGGTATTGACGACACCTCCCTCATCAACCAGGGAGGCCGGGACCAGCAATCTTCATGTGTAAGCATGGAAGGGGCTTGTGAGTGAATCTTTACCTCTACCATAGAGGTGGTAGTTTGAGGGGACTGCTATGTGCCCCTGTCTGAGTCATCCCACTTCTTCTCTCAGATAGTGTTGCCTTCAGACCAAAGGTTCTTCTGAGGCAATCAATGTCTGGGCTCTATTGGATTCAGTCAATGAGGGAGCTGGATGGAGGTACCCTGTGAGGTCCCCCTAAGCTTCAGCAAGGAGGTACAGAGAATAGCCATTTTCAGCAGAGCTTTTAAAAAATGGGTCTATGGAAAAAATGGCTTTCTCAAGACCAGAAAGCCTGAGGTGGAACTTGTGGGTCAAGGGCAGCTAGGAGCTCACCAAAGTAAGGGAGTGGAAAACAGCTCAGCCTTCCAGGCCTGCCAGAGATAGCCACAGGATTAGGAATTTTCTGTTTTTTCAAAGTTCACTGAAGCTGTGAGGAAACACAGACCCAGCATTTGGTTTTCAGTGTAGAAAGGGGAAGGCAGGGAATGAAAAGTTGGGGTGACAGTATGGGTTATACCCTGGGTTCTGTATTAGCAGATGTGGGTGTTAGGGTAGACTGGGGGACCTGAAGGCAAAGGAGACCCAGGACCTTGGGCAGAATGGGAGACACACAAATAGGAGATATTCCAGTCCTTATGGGAAAGGAGGAGGTCCTTGGATTTAGGATTAAATATGTGTCCCAGAGTCAGGTGTCCCTGAATCAGGGTAGAGCTATGGGGCCTACAGGCCAGGGGAACCAGGGACAAATGACAGTATTAGAGGCAGAGACTTAGACCTGGGATGCAAAGGGAATCTAGAAGTAGGGGAAACCCAAGACCTGGCCTCTAATGGTGGCTCCTCAGAAAGAAGATACCCAGGACTTGGGGCAGAATAGATGTCCTAGCAGGCATCCCTGCACTTTGGAAAGAACGTGTGGTCCAGGGGAAGGAGAGACCAGAGGATACAGGACCCGTAGAAAAGGAGACCTGGGATTTGGTATAGAATGGGGGTCTCAGGGGCAAGGGAGGCCCAGGATCATGGGTGGAATGGGGCGGTGGTCAAGTTCCCAGAGGGAAAGGTGGCCCAAATCTCAGGCAGAGGGTGACAAACTCCAGTCATCTCCCTTCCATTTCACCCACCCTCACTTGTCCCCTTTTACAAGACACGAGGTTTTTTTGTTTTTTTTTTTTGCTTTTTTTCATTTCTTTTTAATACAAACTTGGATCTTTGGGTGTGTCCTGCCAACAGAAAACAACAACAACAACAGAAGAGAAAACCCAAAAGAGTGAAAAATAAGAAAGAAAGAAAGAAAAAAAAAGCTCCCGCAAGAGGTTCTTCTCCCACCCCCCCACCATGCGAATTTGCACACCACGGGACCACAGCAGGTTTACAGAATGCAATATACAATCCACGATTTATAATAAAACAGTATATACAATAAATAGGATATTGTTCATTTTTGTCAAATGACCTGTAGATAAATTTCTCAGTGCATACTTGCAGGGGCTCTGGACACCTCGGGGCCCCGCTCGCAACCTCTTGCACACGCTCGCTCTCTCGCTCTCTTTTTTTTTTTTTTGTCTTTTTCTAAAATTGTTTTGTTTTTAAGTTTTTTACATTTTTAAAAAGTATTTACAATTGCTGGTTTTGTGCAGAAAGGGCTCACCTTGGGCTTCTGCGTGGAGATGGGCAGGGAGGGACAGGGGTGGGGGAAGATTGGGCTGTAGGTGGGACAGGGCGGGAGACAGAGGGGCAGGCGCTCCTGCCAGAGGACAATGTGGACACTGGATGGGGTCTTGGTGTTGGTTTTCTGAAAGCTGCAAAGAAGCACAAGAGAAAAGGCAGAGATTAGCTGTACGAAGACCCTGAGTTCTGAGAAAAGGGAGAATTCTGTGAGAAGCTGGCCTCATGTTCTCTCTCAGAAAACTCCAAACTGGCCACAATGTGACTTTGGGGCTGCTTCTGGCCCTCGCTGAGCTCAGTTTCCCCATCTGCAAAATAGGGGCATGTCTGAGCCCCAAAGTCTGGGTTCTAGGCAATGGAATTTGGTAAGAACTTAGACTCTGGATTAAGACACAGTTGAGTTAAAATGCCAGCACCACCAATTTATGAGAAAGCTTCAAAAAGTCCATGGAAAAATGGAATGAAAAGATAATGGCATTGTCCCACAAACTTTTTGAAGCCTCCTCCTACTCGGGCTATGTCCTTGGGTAAGTGATTGGATCTTTGTGAGCCTCAGCCCACTTAACTATAAAATGAGGTTACAGAACTACCCCCATAGGTTTACTGAGAGGACTCAGTGGGTTAAGGGAGAGAAAGACTGGCACATAATAAATGAGACTAATTACCATTTATCACTATTGTCCTGGAGCCTGGGCCAGTCATTGGGCTCTCCAAGCCTCAGTTTCCTCATATAATAAAGAGCTTAGTGACTCCTTCAAGCTAGCCTGCTCTAAGGAATGACATAAGGAGGAAGGCAGTGTGACAGCGCAGAACAGCACAGGTGTGAGCTGCTGCTTTAATTTCTTCTAAATCCAACCTTCTTCCCAGCCCCCACCAGTGCCATTCAGTTCCTCAGAGAGGTGAGCAGATGAGGAAGTCTGTCTGAATGAAGGAATACAGAAATTGCCCAACACAATGCCATCTGTGTTTGGCTGAATCTCGCCTTCCTGAACTCAGAAACTCCCCAGTTCCTACACTTAGCAGACACTTGAGGTCTGACATACTCCTTTCCCAAGTAATTATGTTTGTGGGGTCCTGGGAATCTGACCTCCCTGTCCAGACCCCTGAGCTTGGCTAGACCCTCAAGATTCACAGCTTCACTGAGGTGAGCAAGAAGGTGCCCAGAGAGGGGCAGGGCTGGGTTTGATTATTCCCAAGACACGATTACCCTGGACTTTTTGGAGTTTTGTCCTCCTCTCAGAGCCCCAAGATTCAGGTCTCCCACACTCATAGTGTGGCCACTCCACCAGAATTAAGGGGCATGGTGGGTGGGGCTGCTAAACCCTAAAACTGCCTTCCAAGCATCCTCGGCAGGCCCACCTGGCCTCCCCACACCTGTAGACTCCAGGCAGCAACAGAAAGCCTCTTCTCCCCCGTCCCCTTTTCTTGGCTTCCCTTCCCACTAGAGCCACATTGAAATTCCACTCAGCCTTGGCTGCTGTCTGCTGAGCAATCAGTCTTGGGGACTTTCATTCTGAGGCTGGAGTTTCCAGGACTTTCCCAGTCTAGGGCAACCAGGTGGGGTCCTATGGCGGCAGGGGCAGCCCCAGTCCTGGTGCACTGGGGGGTACACTGGAGGCATGAGAGGGTGGATAAGAGCCACATCTCTGTTAAGTTGTCAGGTGTCCTGCAGGTGAGGAGAAGTTGGAGTATCACTGCAGGGTAAGAGGTGGGCCTGTTAGGGGACAGATGTATTACAAGCTGGGTGATGGTAGAAAAGCAGCTGTTGGGGCAGGGGGTACTCTGTTGGGATGGATGTCAGTTCCCCCACATTAGGGTAACATATGAAACAGCTGCAGAGATAAGAAGGGTATACATTAGGGGGCAGGTCTGTCATCTCTGGGGTGACAAGTTCTCCTGGAGGGGTAGGGGACATTCATCTGTTGTTGAAGAACAGCTGCCAAGCTAAGGAGAGAGCTCTGTTGGGTGACAGGTATAATGCACTGGAGTGACAAGTGATGGGGAGATTTAGGAAGGGTTTCTCCAAATCACTGGGCAAGCCGATTATGCCAAACCTCAGCCCCATGCTTTCTCAAGGGCCTCTGCACAAATCCCTGCCACCACCGCCCCCTCCAACCCTTAGCCACTGCCAGTGACCCTCTCCAAGCCAGGTCTCCATGGTGATCTCAGCCCAGCAAGCGGCTCCAGCCAGAACTGTTCCTGCGGTGCCTGGTGTCCTGGTGGCCAGGAGGCAGGGAGGCTTTCTCACCCTCTGCTAAGCAGCCCCCTCATGGTCTTACCTTCCTCCTCCCACCACTCTCTCAGCTTCCTCAGACTTGGGGCAAAATCTGGGGGATGGGAAAACGAGAAGGGGATCAAAACCCAGGGCTCTTTGGGAGCCAGAGGGGGAATGCTGCAGCTTTGTGGAATCTTGACCTCACTAGTTTCAACTCTACAAAACAGAAGCAACGAGCCTGTGCCAAGGGGCCCAGTGCTGGGCACTAGGGACAAGAGGAGAACAAAACAGACCTGGTGTTCACTCTTAGGGGGGTTCACAGAGCAGAGGGGGAGGCAGATCCCCTAAACCAAGCAATCATGCACGATACAGATGGGGGCTGGGCCAAGGGAAATCCTAGGGGTATAGGGAACACAGAGGAGGCTCCTGACTCGGCCCTGGTAGGAACTCACTGTTGAACACAGTGCTCAGCACACACATGTAGGGATCAAGAGTGTGTGCTGATCTAATGACAGAGTGAAGAATGACCCAAGTCTGATCAGAGTGTCATGGTCCAGCTCAGGTCTTGCACACCTCCAGGATGTCTCTTTAGACCACCCTGTTGCCATAGCTACCGGTGTACTTGTCATTCCCTACCACCCTGCTCCTCTAGGGGAGAGATTTGTGTGTGGCACCTCAAACACCAGCATGAGCCTGCCCATCTCCCCCCCACCACAGGACACCAGTCACTGTTTGTAAGATGTAACCTTTTAGAGTCTCCATGATGACACTGCCAGGGCCACATGTCTCTGAGTCCTCCTACCCCAGCAGCTTTAGCATCTGAAGATGTCAGGGTATTAAAAAGTCTCTGACTGTCAGTGGAGGCTGGCACCAGGGGCACAGAGGGATAGCTGAGCTGGGATTAAAAAAGAAACATGCTCCATGCATTCATTTAAGCAACTGGCACACAAATATTCACACTAACTAACAGCCAGGCCATGAACTAAGGTCTAGGATATGCATTGAAATGGACAGTCTCTGTCCTCTAGAAGGAGAAATCTCAACTTCAAACAAAGCAGTGGAGCAGAAGAGGAGAATGCACTAGAATTTAAGAGAACTGATAAGCTGTTTGACTTAGGGCAATTCTCTTCCCTCTCTGGGTTTGTTTCTATGTGTGTAAAATAAAGGGGCTGAACAAGTGATAGGAAAGACCTTCAGGCCCTGAGATAGTACCCCAAAGACAAGGGGCTAGAGGCAAATCACAGCTGACCCAGCCCTCCATCACTTTCAGGCAAAGCCAGACTTGTGGGTCCCTTAAATGTGGAGAAGAAAGTGCCTTCCTGGGGCTCAGTACACCTGACTGTGGAGAGACTCCCATGCAGGATGGATCGGATTCACTAAGGGATAAGTTTCCAGCTGGGGGTGGGGTGTAGGGCTTTCCCTCTACTCCTGGGAATTTTTCAAAATCTGTGCCTACCAGGAACCAGAGGCACACCTTAAACGCTGGCCTGGTCAGTCCGTCCCTCCTGCCATGCTGATGGGCAGAGATGCCCTAAAATACTTGGTAGTGGGACCAAGTGGGGATCACAGCCATAGTCACTCACTAACCTTTGTTACCTACCACACATCTCTTTCTGTCCTGAGAGGAGGCTACACATCCCATCTTCCCCCAGCTGGGAGATGCTGTGTAAAGACAGGCATTGCTGATGGGTGTATTGGACATACAAGTGGAGGCTGGGATCAAGGCAAAAATGATGGAATTGAGAGATCCCCAAGGACCCTTCCCGGATCTTACATTCTGTGATTTACTGAGTGGGTGGTCATGTGTCTTTGGCTGAGTCCCCTTCTCTCTCTGTAAATTGGGAAGGGTTGTACTTGGAGAACTCCAAAAGCTTCATTAGCTCAGAGAATGAGATGAGATTCTTTTTTTTTTTTTTACTTACACACTGCTTCCCTATACCAATTTTTAGAGTGAACCATGATGATAGTTTGCAGTTGACTACTATGGTGCTCAAGGCGCTCTGGTAGTATAATGGTTACAAGTCTGGCTGCTAACCCCAAGGTCAGCAGTTTGAAACTACATGGGAGAAAGATGAGGCTTCTGCTCCTGTAAAGATTTATAGCCTCAGAAACCCAATGCAGGGGCGCTAAGTTGGAACTGACTCCATGGCACACACCACCGCCACCACCACCACCACCACCACAGTGCACAGTGGCTCTATAGGATAAGCACCAGTTGCTCTGTGGGAAAAAGAGGAGGCTTTCTGCTGCCACCAAGATTTAAAGTCTTAGAAACCCTATACGGGTTTCTACGAGTCAGACTGATTTGATGGCACTTAACAACTAACCAAAAGGTTGGTGGTTTGAATCCACCGAGCAGCCCCACAGAAGACCTAGAGTTCTTACTGTAAGATTCAAGACATTGAGGACCCTCTGGAGTGCAGTTCTACTCTGAAATACATGGTGTCGCCATGAGTTGGAACCAACTCAGTGGCAATGGGCTTGGTTTAGCTTTGGTTTATCCTGTTAATAGTGGGCTGAGAGAATCGATCCCTCTGTCACTCACCAGTGCTCTACGTTTTCTGCCAGAATTCTCCTTAGTCTACACTCTTCAAGTTAAAGCAACAAACAAAAACAAAACCAGAACATCTTGAGTCCTAAAATGTACAAGGGATGGCATGGTGAGATTCCAGTGGTGGGAAAGGGGGAACTGTGAGAGTGTGTACAGACAAGGAAACAGTCTAAATGAGTTGATGGCGCGGTGAGGACATTCCTGGGAAAGGCCGTCATCGGCAGGAGATTGATTTGACCAGGGAAGGTTCCTGGAATGCTTCTTGGAGGAGGTGGTGTTTCAGTGAAAGATAAGGACTGACAGGTGGGAGATGGATGGAGGGTAGGAAAGGACAACAACCTAGGCCAGGAAAGAACTAGAGCTGAGGC